AATAAATGATCTGGTTTTGACTATTTAGTATATATAAGTACATTGCCTTAGTTGACTGTGTATCAGTGCCATTGAAATTTGTTGTCTCTGAAAACTGCAAGTAAGAAACTAAGTAATAGCAATTTTGTTAACACATATTCCAAAAAAAAACAAAAGCTTTTGAAATCAACCCATAGAAGACTTACGTATTAAGGATTATTAACAGGTTTTTCAGTAATTAGATTTTCGAAGTAGAGTCTGCTATTTTTTACTGGTTCTGAGTATTCGCATAAAAAGTGTTAAGTATTTTAACTTAAACAGTTTTAAGTAATCGTAAAGTTGTAAGAGCATATGCTTGTCTTAAATAATGTATTGTTAAAAAAAAAAAAACAAATGTTATATTTATTACTTATGTACAAAATAAAGGACATTACGTTATTTAAAAGAAATCTTCCCCTTTTTTAGGATAGATATTTAATGCTCTTACTTACTTAGCTTCAAGCTAAGGATGTTCATTTCAAATAAATCATAGCCTTCCCATATTTATTTAGAATTTTTTAAAGGTCTTTTATCTTCTTTTATATTGTAAATTAAAAAAATTAATTTTAATATACTTTCCATCAAGTTTTAATGAAATCAGCCTTTGTTCCTCCATTAAATACACCTTTAATCCTGGCTGAGCTAGACATCAATAAACACTAGCAATTGTCTAAATCTTTCAGTTTTTCGTTAATTATCGGATAAATTATATGTAAATAAAAGTTATACAAACCTATACAATACTTAGAAAAAAAAAACTCTAGAGTATTGGCAGTAATTTTTTTTTTCTGTGTAGCAAACTTACGAAACTCACGGAAGAAAACATGTGAAGCAACAATGCTCTTAAAATCTTCATAGTTGGGTTTTATCCGTAACATCTTGTGTACTGTCTTTGTTAAACGCTTTGGTTTTCCAGATGAAGTTGAGAAGATCCGATAAGTTTGCTTTCGTTATCTCTTCCAGGCCAGTAAAAAAGCGATCCCCAAAACATTGAAGTCATCTTGTCTGCAGTGCTCGACAGTGACAGTGGAGGTGTTGATAGATTCTACCTCTTTCTCTTCTTGGCAACCCCTGCATAATCCACTTGTTGAAATTCGCCACCGTTGGAGCATAGGCGCAATGGCCCAGTAGCCCATTAGTACCCAAATAAGTACACGAACTGCAAATTTCCTGAAGCCCAATAGGCTTTTCGTTTTATTTTTGTCCAAACTAGCGACCTCACAATTTTCTGCGATTAGTCCATAAATTGTTAGTCACCATATTGGTGATTCCTTTAATGCGTCAAATGTTCATATATTTTATCATATTTTTTTTACTAAATTTTTTTTATGTTTTGAATTTGTTCTGGCAAGTAAACAACCACACTTAAAAATATTCCAAATGTGTTACATTAAAAATATATTATTTTATATATAAAACATATTGAATTACAATAAATAAATTTTTTAATGTTTAGTAAACAAAAAATGAAAAAATAGAGAGAAAACAAAGATTTCATCAATTTTTTCTTGAGCTCTTCTTCAAAGTAATATTTTACAAATGGTCAACTTTTCGATTCGAAGTAGCCAAACACTTAAATTAAATCAAAATAATATGAAAGTCGTCAAAGTGGCGCCACTTGCACTGTCCCACGTCTGGTTACCCACAAATATCCATCTATTCATCTATTGCTCCATTCTGTTGCTATATTGTTTCTATGCGTATTCAAAAGCAAAAAATATCATTTTACTAAAAAAATATTTTACCACTATTCAGTGAGATTGATTTAAAACAAAAAAGAGATAAAAAAATCAGTAAGGAATTAAATTTTACACCGTTGAGTGAATCTTATCATTAAATCAATACAATTATTTTACCCCCATTGTCTACTTTATGTTGTGGTTATTTGCACTGCAAACAGTTCTAAAATTTATAAAAGTTACAGACTTCCGGGCGCCTTCGAATGGTCGCTGGACTTTTCTTAACCACACGAAAAGCAATGGTTTGAGGGTTGTGTCCATAGTTTGAGTATATTTTTTCTATTAAAACTTATTAAAAACTTTGTGGTTGGGGTGTTCCTTAATGTATTCTTAAACTACTTTATTTATCTTGAAATAAAAATTACTTCTAATCAAAACTTATTTCCAGTCTATAATTAATCCGGTTTTTTAATATTCAAGATATATACTTTTTTATTTCAATATAAATTTTTAGGGCCTTGCCAATTGATATACAATAATCGTAATCTTTACTTTCAGAGTAGCAAAAAAAAATACTCGTAACTTACGAAAGAAAACATGTGGAGCAACAACAATGCTCTTATAATCTTCAGAGTTAGGTTTTACTCGCAAAAAAAATTTTACGACTTTAGTTTTAGTGCAGCCAAATTTAAAAGTCAATCTATTGTGAATATTTACTGAAAATATGTTCCAAAATTCTAGTCATCCGTTAAAATCATATGACTTTAGAATTTTTATAATTCATATTGTACACAACACAACAAAACATATATGTATGTCAAAGAAAGCAACCACATATCTCTTATGTTCAGTAAAGTACGTACCCATATAGTAGTTCAGAGTATAGTAGTTCAGAGTACATACAGTAAAGGTGTGTGGGCACCATAAGCAAAATACCCAAATTTGTAAGGCAAACATTTTGGTTTCATCGGTTTATATATCTGCTGTGTCCTAAACTAGAACCAAAGAATATATTAAGAAAACATAAAGACAAAACAATTACTTAAAAGTCTCAATGCAATGCACTTTTTAGACAGATTAAATAAGTTGTGGAATGGCTGGGATAAAAGTATTTCATAACTGACATTATCTACTAAAATTTACATTTATGTTGCCAATATATAACAGGAGTTAAGTGATGTTTTACAATTTTCTTCAACAAGCCCAAACAAACCTTAAGTCCACCTCAGGACGCACAGGAAGATATGCTGATCTACGGTCCGTCATCAGTTAGAAGATAAATAAATGATTATGATTCTAGTACAGTCAAAGTTTAGTGTGGGGCAGGGATAAGCCCCCCAGCCACAAAAGAGTAAAAGTGCACAATAGAACTAACTCAAGTCACAACAACAACAACAACAACATATAGATATTCCGCGTTCAAGTCGATTTAACATAAACACACATCCTTTATGATTTTTATAACAAACTTATGTGCAGCAAATTAAATTCAAAAAAATTTCCATCAAATATTTACACTTTTCACAACCGTTCATTCATCAAAATCTGCATACAAAACACTGCCTTCAAAAGTTTAAGTGAAAGGCAAACTTAATTATTCCGGTAATTGAGAGGATGCATCTATTTTATGTTCATGGCGATGCGCTGAGCTCACTTGTTTCGCTTTCGATGCATTTTAGTTTGGCTGTGGGCTTTTTGACTTTATAATTCAATTTTCGTACCTCTATTTTATTCTCACGCACTGTTCACGTTCCGTTATTAGGATACATTTAAATCTATTTACAATAAATTTAGTTAAAAATCCTCCAAAATTGTGGCATATGATTTAGTGGGTTGTCCATATTTGAAGCACACATAATTACTAAAACACTTAATAGTGTATTGCAAAGTAATTTTTTAAAGTATACCAAGCAAAAATTTTTTTAATAGAAACTAAAAAAAAATTATAATTTTTATAGACCTTTTCTTTTGTAAGCATATCACAAAAGAACAGTTGCTTATTTTAAAAATAACATATCAAACAACAACACTGCTGGCTTATTTAGTTTAATCCTTTTCAAATCGCTTAACTAATAAGCCGATCAAATCACATGATTGCGAGCACTAAAAATTCGTCTATTGTGAATAATTTTTGAAAGTACATACGATATTTCCAGTTAACTGTCAACGAATGATTTCGTTAATTATACATACTTCATGTCGTCATTGTTTGTAAAAAATATGTTTTTTTTCTATTTATTATTTTACTGTTAAAAAGCACGAAAAATTATATACTGCACATATAAGCCTAACAAACTCGCCCTTTTGTCCAGAGTTGCCATCAAAAGTAGTGCTTATTTTATTTGTTCTTCTGCGACATGCTTACAAAAGAAAAGGCTTTATATTAATATATTGCCGTAATCAGTGGATCCAAACGTACAAATAATACACTGTCATAAAATATTTTCTAGCATACAGAGAGGGTACCTGTCACCTATCCATCACCTGTCCCAATGCAATCTTCCTGCGATGAAGGAGTTACAATATTCCCACGGTAGGCATGCCTGTCGTAAGAGGCGACAAAGACTCCGGTGACACGCACTTGTGTAAGAAGTGTGCATAGTAGTAGGTGCTGTCCCACCCTGCGATATTTGACCAGATATCGTAATATCATAGTGGACTCATATTGGTTGTGGTTAATGTTCATTCATTTGGCGTGGAGTTGCGTATTCACTACCGGGTACTAAGACCCAAAGATCAGCAGAGGTTTAGATGGGGCTCGTATCAAACAAAAGTGTAAGTTATGTCTTACACACCTTTCTTCATTGGTACCAGCGAAATTCCGTGGAGTTCCAATGGGACGTTTATCGACACTATATAACGATGCATGTGTGAAGAATACCGTGATGTTAAGCATTTACGGATATCAGGATATCACATTAATAATTCTGGACTTGTCACAAATCTGACTACGTCACTACGTTTATGACTTTATGTTAATATTACTTTATATTGCAGATAACAAAAAACAAGAATTGTTAATCAATAGAAAATTTGCATTAGTACATACTCTTAAAATGTTGAAATATATACAATTTCCCTATAAAGTATATAAATGCATATATACACTTAAAACTTATCCCACTCAAGAACTTGTATTCGCACCGTATTAGATATTATATATACTGTAAATTCTAAACCTAACCTGGTTGAAAAATATTTCAACAAAGGAGTTTATAAAATAAAAATATGTATCTGAACTGTCAAATTCTATGGCAACTATATTTCAATCTCAACTAACTTAAATAAAATTTAACAAATATTTTAAAAAAGACAAACAGTATTCGAAGATTAACTGTTTGCTCGATTTTAAAGTGCAGTTCCATTCATTTTTTTGTTGCTCAAAAAACTAATCGAATAGATTATTTGCCTTTTTCCATAGAGGAAATAGGATTCCATTAAAAACTGTTGCGAAGCGAAGGTGAATGAAATTTTTAGAGAGTTTTGTGAAATTTGATTTGTATACCGTACACAAATATATAAATAAATGTAAATATATATATATATATATATATATATAACATATATATATATACATATGTTATGTTTTTGAGAAAAAATTTTATATATAAATATCTAAAGTGGGTGTTAAGTCTTGATAAGTTAAATATTAAGTTTAAACAATTAAAATATCAACAATATCAATTCGCCTTAAAATTGACATATAATTTTTTAAATTTATTTTAGAAGCTATGTCGCGCCATAATAACAAGTTAACTAATGATTCAACAGACTCGGACAAATCGGACAGCTCGGACAGTTCGGACAGCTCGGACAGTTCGGACAGCTCGGACAGTTCGGACAGTTCGGACAGCTCGGACAGCTCGGAGAGCTCGGACAGCTCTGAAATTGAAGATGATGGTTCAATGTATATGTTACAAGCAACACAGTTTCTTTGTATCGGCAACACAAAGGTTCGCATTGAGGTACAAATTAGTTATGATGCGAACGTAGCGACACTTGATGATTTATATGATATACAACTTGATGTGACCTATATACTGAACTGTGAAAGACATGAACGTGAAATTGATGCAAATGTAGGGACACACACCAATCGTGGTTCTGAAAATACAGGGATGCTATTTGATCACAATTCATTCAACAACATTTACTATAAAACATTCATCATCCGCCCAACGGCTAATGATAAATCGAAGCACCGTCACCGTTATAGCGTAATTACTGAGCACATTGCTCTTGATTTGAAGATTAAAGAAGATGAAAGTAATGTGCTGCCCATAGTAACACTGATTGGCTACGATGTGACAATGGAAAGTGATACGAAGAAACCGAAGCGAGGTTTTTGTATAATTACTGGAGCAAATTCTCAAAAAGCTCGTCAACCAAAAAAATCTTGCAGGCATGCTGTTTGGACTGAAGTCTAAGACGGTAATGTCTTTTGTTTTCTTTACGATTATTGCATATTTAATACTTTTTTAATAAAGTTCAACAACATTTTTTTTTTTCATGGTATATGCCAAGTTTTTGCACTTTAATGACAATAGAACGATAAAAATACTAATCACACAATCTGGGGTTGCTTAGGTATATATTTCAGAAGTAATACAATTTTCAAAGTTTTGTAACCAAAGTTTGCATATCAAACTTAGGCAATGAACACATTTTAACATATTCATTCAAGAAGTGGATCATTGTTAAAAGGTCTATATATAACCTATATATATATATAAAAATAGAAAGAGAACACGTTATCTAGATTTTTCTATATTCTAAGAACCCGAGCGGACATCGCTGAAACTATATGCATACTCTCTCTAAACAAAAAAAATTTGTTTTTTTGGGGGGCGGGGGGGTGTTTGTAAACCTCGAAACGACATTCAAAAAACTTAATGGTTTAAAAAAAAAACCACGACAATTCAAAAACGTTCTACGTTTATACAATCGGTCTTCATGTCTACCTTCCTGTCAAAAAAGTAATTATTAAAGTAATTACAGCAAATGTGCCCCAAGTTTCTCTGTCTTGACCCTGATTGCATTTAATTTAAGTTCCACTCATTCCCAATCCTTCACTATTTCCTAGTAATTCCCTTCTCTTTCAAACAACCATCACCATCACATCCTAACCCATATATGCGTCATATAATTCCTTTCATGTTATCTTCTTTAGAGATCTCCGCGGACTACAACATAAAATAATAAAAAATAATATATCAATTTTAAAATTCCGGTAGCTGTTGTTTATTATATGTTCAAAATTCTAAGTAGTTTAAAAAACAAAGGCTTAAAGGCAAGCCTTTTGTAATAAGTATTCAGCAGTAGTGTGAAGATACTTATAGAAGCAATCTAAGTAACGGGGGACTATGTACGACTAGGACCGTTGTTGAAAAAATTAACTGAATTGTTATTAAAATTCGAAAAGATTGTAGAACTAAAATAATAATCAAACTTCAAATTAAATCTTTGAAAACTAGTTCTCTCGAGCAAAACAGAAACTATCACGTTTAACTATCACACAGTGTATATTGCAGTGTTTTTACTACATATCTCTAGGTTTATGTATGTAGTAATTGTAGCATAAACTGAATTTATTTCGCATTACTTTTACTTTTAAGTGTCTCTGTAGCTGTTGTTTATTTATCTAAATATTCTCGATCCAGTGTGGCACAGAATACATGATGCGCCTCTTGTGGGTCCAGAGTGGAGCCAAATGGAATGCTTTGGCCGTAGCTAGGCGAACGAGCGATTGTACAATGAGATATTAAAACAAAAAATAAAAAAGGACTTTGCGCTTCTCGTAGAGCAGAAATAAAAGCGAAAACTTTATAAATCGTTCGGTGCTTAAACTAAACAGATTTTTAACTGGACGCTGAAAATGTTCAGCTAAAATACCACTCATTCAATTCACTTGACAATTGCTGTAATGGTGTTAAATTGTTTTTTACAATTTTTAAGTTTTAAGCATTTTTTATTTGCCTTCGATTCCCATTTCTCCTTCCATTGTCCTGGCTGAAGTTATTTTTTCCACATTCAGATTTTTTTGATATTTTCGTTTTCCATGTTTATCTGCTAAAGTTTTATTTAATAACACATTTAGGCACTTTGGATGGAAATTCGGTGTTTAAGTTAAAACAAACACTCAACATGACGAGCATTTAATAATGAAACTAAATTTTTGTATACTAAGATAAATTAATTATTTAAACACTGCAATTACATCACAAGATGTATAAAATTATATTAATTAAAATTTTGTTTAAAATGAAACCATAAATTTATTTGGTTTCTTGATCCGAAATTAAAAAACAGTTTTAGGATAAAAAGTTTATCTGCATTAGATACTGAAATACATGAAAGAAAAATCGAAGAGAACAAGAAACCTTGAGCACAATAACTAATATATAACATATTCAGTTTTTCAAAAAATTATTTAAACTCAAACTCAAATATTAACTTTTGATTCGATGAACTTGTGTTTCCAAATGAAGCTGTATTTCGATAAGGGGGGCTCTGATCACTCCATCATCCCTCTCTCTAAACATGACTCTCGTGCCTCTGCTTACAGAGTTAGTACTTCCACGCTTGCGCTATAACTCTAATCCCTACACAATCTCCCTAATTTACATCATAATTAATGAATGCTTTCTGGTTTAGATGAATAAAGTTTCCCCTCAATACTAAGCCTCTCGCTCTTAACTCTCTCCGTTGATTGCTGAAGTTGGGTTGTATCCGCTGTACGTGGCTGCAATCCTCAAAGCTTGTTCGTAAAAGGTGGTTTTCGTGGGTTCAAGTCTCACACTGCGGCTTTCGATGATTTTCCCCTACTATTAAAAAAAAAATGGTATCAGTTGAAATCGATCTTTAGACTTTAACTAAGAGCGGTGTATCTTGTTCCTAACCGAGAATTCTTATTTCTTTTTGATACTCTGCTCCCTTAGCGGAAATCTTAATACATTGAAAATTATAGGTAAACATTATATGGTGCCCTGCCATTTTAATTAATTACCATACCTAAAATATAACTATACCATATATGTTTAAATTAAGTTGCTAATCAAGTAAATGACTTACATATAAATATTTTTGTTTGATATTTTCAAAAAATATTCTGATCTATGGCTATAAACTTCCAAGTCAAAATTCTTATACTAACATATAGTGAATAACTCTGATAAATACAATAAAAACAAATTGATAAATTCAAAATCATGTAGTGTTTTTGTAATTTTAAAAGGACAAGCTATAATTGGCAAAATTGGCAAAACATTGGACTAATTATATCGAGATAGAAGAGACTATGTTAAGAAAATTTCTTATCCAAAAAATATATCTTTCACTTGAAAAGTCACTAAATTATCTAACTGCAGTAAGAGTTTGAGATAAGAATTTTTTTAATGGAACAATGAAAATTATTTATATTTATGTTCAAAAATAATATTTTCTGCTTTTAAGTAATATATTATATATATGTAATATACACAATTAAGAATAAAACATAATTTGAAAAAAAAGTTTGAAATATTTTTATGTTAATTAAAAAATGGAAATGTCCTTTTCGTTGGCATAACTTAAATATGATGCAAAAGTGCTTATAATAAACATGACACGTTGTAAAAACAATAAAAAAGTTATTGCAAATTAAAATTTGAATTTTTCGCATTCAAATGAGTTGAAACAAAGCAAAATATTTTTATTAAGCAATTTTATGCCTTCGCACAATAACAACAAAAGCCGCAGAGTCAATTAAAAAATATTACGCATTTTTGTCGAATTTTTAATAAAAATAAAACTCAAAAATAAAAATGAAAATGCAATAATAAAATGTGTTTTAAATCATATTGAAGTATGTACTCGTATATCTGCGATTGACAGATGTTGATGGATTTAGCCTCAGATGTTGATGCTACGGTATGCAATAATCTGAATGGTTAGTTAGATCTACAAGGTGTCAACAATAATTAGCACACAAAGCCCAAAAATTGCACTTTAGGTTAGACTCAGTCAAAAACCGGGACATATTCTCTTACGTTTGCATCTTTAATGTCATATAGTCAAGTTTTACGACATTAAAATCTACACTGAACTTCTTACAGGATACTGTAGACTTAATTACTACATGAAGACTCCTATCGATTCTGTCATGAGGAAACATCAGAACATATTCCATGCAACTGCACAGCGGCGGCAAGACGTAGACTCAACTACCTTGAAAGCGGGATCTTAATCCCAAATCAAATAGGTAAAATGAAGCTCACAGCAATTACAAGATTTATAAATAGTCTAGAATTGTCTTAGTTGGGGCTTTAGGTGCACAATAGATCTTTTAGGTCGTAGTGCATTTATAGGCTATTATCTAATAATAATAATAATCAAATTTTAATAAATTAAAGTTTTAACATGTTGCTATCGAATATCGAAAATTGCCTTCTTATATACTTGACTTATATTTTTATAGCATTTCCTTTGCTATGAGCTAAAGCAAATAAACAAAAAACAACAAATATTAATGAAATTAATATTAATTAATTAAAACTATATACCAACAAATAAGCCAATAAATGAAACGAAAGACCACTGATAATGGATGAGTGGCAATAACCAAAACAGCTGTATGGGCAGGCCTAAGAACCCACTCATTATTGCCTCCTTTTCAATTCAAAATTAATATTTTGTCATAGAACGCAAAATGAATGTCTCAATAATTCAATAATAATGACGTGTATGAAAAGACTTGTGCTCTGATCGAATGTGTACTCAGTATATGGCAATAAATTATTGATTTCATTCTGATAACTTAAATGTGATAACCGCTTCTCTTATTAGTCAATCTGTTATCGCAAAATTGAATAAAATTATTGGTTATTGAAACCCTTTGAAACCAATTTTAAAAAAAAACATGTCGATGGACCTGGCATGTTATATGATAGGCATTGTATATCTACGTAATTAAAAATAAACTATATATTTTTTTTAATTTCCACTAATTGTATGTGTCTATTCCATTTAGTCGGTTTAAGTGACGGTAGAACTTTCTGTTCCATTTAAATAGCATATATGTACCATTTTCGTATCGTGCCCTTGGATAAGAGATTGTATATATTATTAATGGTGAATAGTGAATAGATAATAGAGGCCAGTTTTAGTGAATGGTGAATAGTACTAGAATGGATCTAAATCGAACTGTTTTGGATGGGCATAATAACAGCTGCTGAAGAGTGAACCACTTATAACAATGCTTAATGAAGAAATAATAAAACTTTCTAAATAATGCCAAAATCAGAATTGACAAAAATGGAGGTGCTATATACTTGGTGAAATTGTCATGATGTTATTTATTATCAGCTACAACCATCTGTTCAAGGGATTGTTTCAACTCTTAGTAATAAATATGGTCAAAACAATAATTTAGATAGTGATCGATTATTATAACAGTGTTGGTCGCTACCGCTGATGTAGTAACATCAGTAGTAACATCTGCTTCCATATCAAATACTTAGAATTAAATTCCAAATCTTTACGAATTAGTGATGAAAAAACCATGAATAGAAACCTCTATTATTGTGGTTTGTGTTTCTCACGTCTTTTAAAAATTGCTGGAAAAAACTAGACACACAACTCATTCTGATATATTCACTTTGTAAACATTTTGAATCTATATTCCTTTCTCATCTCGACAGAATTAAAACGATCAGTTTCTTGACGAGGTATCATGTATATCTCAAGTGAAGTAGCACAGCATTTTATTATTATCTATAAGGAGGTTTTTAAAGGTTTTATTTGTTTTAATGCAACCATATACGTATAACTTACTCATAAACCAAATCGTGTATTAGTCGTCTATTAACGAAGAGATACTATTATCGTTACTCCAGCTCTTGCAAATTTTCAACTTCGAATTAAGACTTGTGAATTTTAATTTATAAAACTTTAATTCTTAGTTTGGTTAATTATTTTATATAAATTTCAAAATATATACAATAATACAAATAAAATATATTTCAAGTCTGCAAATCTATTGTCAAACTTAAGTTTTACTTAAATTATATGTATGAGCCAATGATTTACTAAAAGAAAACATTTTAATACATATACTTCTATTCTATATATTTAGAGTATTCATATAAATTCTGTATAAATAAAGTAGAAGTTTTTATCGCATTCACTTTACTTTACTTTTTACTTTACTTCACACAATGTAATCTAAAATAATGAATTTAATAAATTAGGTATATTAATTTTGCATTTTCTATTTAAATATTTTATTTCTATTAATTAAAAATTTTAGAAAATGTGTTGACTACTCGCTATAGATCACTTTTCAATCCACGAAATGGTATAATTTGTAGGCCTGATCAACTAAATATTGTAGAAATGACAATATATTTTGAATTTATTAAGACTGACATGTATGGTATTATAAAATAAATAAATAGTACTTATTAAGACTCAAATGTATAGTATTATAAAACAGTCATTATATATAAATAATTACAAAGGCCATGCTCATTTCTGGCATAATACATTGAGCACTGATTATAAGACTAATATTGATTAAGTAGTTTTTAATATATATTTTTTATGAAATGGGTAGGTCAGTGGATTCCTCGTTTTCCAAGTGAAGACGTTTATTCTGTTGTACTGTAACTTTATCGTTAATGTTTTCTTCTTCATTAATGGAATTAAGACATTGTACACCAAAATTAATAAATTCATCTCCTTTATACATCGATATAGCATAAAATTGATTATTCCAACCGTTTACGTCACTTTGGTTTAACGAAGCAAGATTAGTACACACCATTGGTTGAGAAATTATTGCATTTATATTTGAACTGACCGCATTGTGAAATTGGTGTAGGTCTTTAATAGCTTTTTCCTTAAGAAGACCATCTGATTCATTCATTTGCAGAACAGGTTTGCATGCATCTGCGAGAAATGTATTACCGGATTCATCTACACCATTACCCATTCTTCCATTTGATTCATCCATTTTAATATCTCTCTCAATGGCTTGACCTTTACTTGAAGTAGTCGACTCATCAACTTCGTGGACTTCAGTTTCGCAGGAATTATTGATATTATTACTTAAACCAAGCTGTTCAGCAAATCTAATAAAGAGAAAAATTAAAAAATAAATTAGTTGATGTTCAAAATAGTTACCTAACGCAATGCGAACTTTTAATGTGTGGTATAAGGAACTCCAATTCGGCAATAATTGGACTCTTCTTCTTACGTACATAATTTTCAACGGTTGCGCTCTTTTTAACTTCGCATGCTAATGAATCCCGCAAGCTTTTCCAACGACGGCGTACACTTAATCCTGGGACAAAAATGATCATTTTCAATAGAATAATAATTTCAAGGTTTTTTGCAATATGTTTTATATAATTTGTATTATTTTAATAAGAATGAAAAATGATGTACGTCCTTAAAGGCAATAGCGAAGGATTGAAACGTTATAACACACCATCACAATCAAAATGTATTTGATACCAAAATTCCTTTAAAAATGTTCATTCATCTGCATCTACTCTTATATTGGGTATATTTGGTTAACTTGGTTCATCATAGTAAAGCCTTCTGATTGCCACAATTATTTCAGAAAAGAACAACTATTAGTTAATGCTGCTATTGTATTTATAATAATTCAGTCATATATAACTAGAATACCTAGTGAAATAATAATACTTGACAAACATTATTTACTTGATTAATAGTAGTGAAACATAGTCCACATTTTTGGCTACACTAAGATAGGTTAAATATATTAAGCAACAATCATTAAAGTCACTCACCCATTAACTCCTTCATTTTTTCATCCATTGAATAATATTCTGGAAACATTGCAGCATAAACACCTTCCCATACTTCTTCTCTATAAGACTTATTGCAGCATAAGCTATTGTCCGTTTTAAAAAGTATTTCATTGCTGCGTACTAACCGAATTAATTTTAGAGAATTTACTTCTACATACTCAGTTCTAGGACTATATTTTCTTTTATTTTTCATTTTGTTGTCAACGTTTTCCATAGAATGAGAAAGTTACACAGGGAATCACAAAAAACTTCTACACTTTAACAGCAGCGAACAACAATCAAAACTGGCGCGGACGCCAGAAATCCACCTTCACCACAATTAACAGCGACGACTGCTAAAAAAGTATATGCATCTCATTCTCACATGCCTTTGAATGTTTGACAAGTAATCGTTTCAATGACATAAAAGAATAGTAAACAAACTCTAGAAATTCACCACCAAAGTGATGAAGCTACATTTTTAATATTATTAGAATGGTAAGTCATTTCTTAGTCAGTCAAATCTTAGTGAGCAAGAATAATTCAATATAAAAGATATTTCCAATAAACCTCTGATGAAACACCTTTCGATGAATAAAATAGTTTCCTTCGTCATTATTTTCTTGAAATATTAATTTAGTTAACTTAGTTGTTATTAACACAAATATTAAATTTTGTTCATACACATATTTTGTATCACCTGATTTGCTTCTCCGATAAAGTTAAGGCTCAGTTAGACGGTAGGTAACGTAAGAAATTAATTCAAAGTGAAATGCACAAGCAACCAAACCTGCGTATTTGGTTTTTTATTTCGCTTTGAATTAATTTCTTATGTTACCTTACGTCTAACTGAGAATTTAGTTAACTGACTTATTACCAATTGGTCTCCAGATCAGTTTGTCTCTCCAGTGGTAGTACATATTATACATTTATACTGGGTATTTATCTTACTCGTATCGTTTTATTGAAGATTAAAAGTTTTTTTATTATACATTCATATATATAGTAAATGTGTAATAACTATATTATTATCGATTGTATTTTCATTACTTTTTATATTAATATTATCATACAATAACTATATTCACTTCCAATGTGAATATAGGTAACATATATTCACCTCCAATGTGTACGTGGGATGTGTTAACTCATGTCTACACGTATAATATATTCCCTGGAAATTAAAATTAAATCAAATTTATTTTGTAAATTAAATGAAAATCAAAGTTTTTCTCGACAGCTACCATTTATTGTGACATTAAATAAGGTTTGAAATGATTAAGTATTTATTTTAGTATGAGCTAGATCATTCCCCTCCTTTGATTTGGATGAAAGATTTTGAAGCATTTGATGAAGCGTCAGTGCATGTGACCATAACTGATTCATCAAACTCAATTACGCGGACAGTAGATTCATTTTATGAAACTCTCAGAAGATATGCAATTTCTTCGATAACTGGAGTTGGGTTTGATGTTTTCTTCCACTACATTGCTGAAGGCGGGAAGGTATACGAAAGGTAAGAATTTGAAGTATTTCTTGTAAATCCATTCAGTATTAAAACAAACAACAGTTAAGTTTATAGCCAAGATTTGATATAAGTTATAATCAGTTGCCAGTTGAGCACAGTTTAATAATCAGATTTTAATTTATCTAAGAGTAATAATGCTTGTTCCAGACATCAAAAATGCTAAAAAGAAACCGAATTATAAATTTTTTTACTACGCATTCATACTGGTATAAGTATATCATAAAAGTAAAGATTATATTTGATAAACTTGAAGATATGGTTAGGTAAATTTAAACTTGTCATTTAAAACATAATATTCGAATTTAGTTTTGATTAACCAAGTTTTATATATAGCTTCAAGAACTGTGTGACTTTTTGAATATATATATAATACTATATTTTATTAATTATTAATTTATTTTTTATCCCTGTCACATATTGTTCACAAATTTAATTAAATTCAGTTTAAATTATTATTACGAAGTAAATGCGATCTCTTGGAGTCCATATGTTTCATGCTTAGCTCGAGAAATCGAATGGAGACACCTATATATTTCAAACCTAGTTAATCTCAGTCATTAAGGTAATTGAATAAATTTTGTGCAAAGTCCTTTTTAGCAAATAATCTCCAACATTTGTCATATAAACCGAACACGATTAATATGGAATACATGCCATATAAATTGTTTTTTACATAAATATTTGCACTTTCATAATTGAATAACAATTTACACTATAATAACAATTTTGACTATTTTTAAGAATTTGCTTTATTAATTTGTTATTGCTTTATAATTATCATAGTATTTATGTAATTCGTTTTAGTTCTATATACTTTTATATATAGTATTGACAATATTTACTTATTATTTTAATTATAGACAGTTTTACAGAACTAATTAAGGACTCTTCATATACATAGTGTGTAAAAATATATATAATACAATAATAATATATATTATATGATATATAACATATAACCTTTTAAAAATACAATGTGTATGTATGTAGAACATTTTTTTTATTCATTTCATATCAGTGGCTTTAAAGTGGAATACAATGAATTATGTTTTTGAAGAGGAAATCAATGTTGCAGCTGACCAATTATTAGAAAGAATACGTCCAGTTGAAATCACATTGAACTTATCCATAAAAGAGGTTTGTTGAAGTATTCCATTTTTTAACAAAGATTTATTCTTATTTAAATGTATGCATATCTATGAAAAGATTCCTACTGGTGCAGTTCATACGGATATACGTATGAAATGTGACCGTAATGTTATATCAAAGGACGATAAGGGTGAAGAAGTGATAAAGCCTGATTTAAAGAACAACACTGACAACAAAAAGTTTGATAAATATATAAAAAATTAAACAAATATTGTAATGAATGATTCATTGTTGTTATATTATATTTTTAGATAAATGTAAATGCATTTCATTAGTTGTTTGTAAAGAAATTTTTAAAATTAATGCTTATTAATAAGTATATTCTGTTTAATAGCTGAAAAGCAATATATATTCTGTATGATGTATCTATCTTTTAGTATTTTTTTTAAACATACTTTATAAGAATCTTTATGATACCCTCTTTAATAGATATAATTAATAATTAGTATAAACGACACAGTGAAAAAGCTAATGAGCTAGCCAGCACTGCTTCAAAAACTGATTTAAAATTTTTGTGGGATAAACTGGCCAGTACAAAACAAATTATCAAGAAAAAAAAAATCACGTGCGGCTGGAGTATTGAGAAGACTTCCCAGGGCTTAGACATAGCAAAGCAAAGTTGTAGATCAAATTAACGACTTTGTTTTCCATTATTCCTGTTTCAATGGGTTGCAAATAAATAGGTTGAGTAGGAAATATATTATGCCTCGATGCTATATTTGGTTGAAGTAGTTCTTTCAAATAATCAAATTTATTTTCATTGCCTTGCGTCAAGTTTCTATGTGTATTTCTTATTGGGAATTCCAAACGAGTTATCTAGTCGAGAACCTTTGAGTAAGCAAAACAATGCTAGAGTATGATCAGAAGATAGCTCATAATTTGTATATGTTTTTATATAATTTCAACGTATGTCTTTGGTAATAGTTTATACGGTATAGAATTTTATTATTATCTCTAGGTCAAACACAAATATAAACAATTTTAAAAACAAATTTTAACAACTTATAACATGATGATGTATAAGGGGACTGATTTGCCTCAAAGTTTACCTATACGAACCTCAAAAACCTGCCTCATCGAAAATGTTCAAAAACTATATCACGTAAGCATTGAGAAATTGAATTTTTCCAACCTTATAAAGTAAATAAAATTGTAAAATTATATTTTGAAAAATTTACCAAACCAATTTACTTTAGTATATTTTGAAAAACCATGTCGACACATTACGTTGATTTATTTGGGGATCCGAGAGAATATTTGGACAACATTAATGATTTAATGCATGAATTAGATCAAATCGATCGACTTCAGTTAAATAATAGCTTAAATGGACGCTCATCGGTCTATTCCTTGATGGGAACACAACTTCTTTTAGTCGGAAACACACGTGTTAGCATTGACATACAATTATGTTTTGAGGGGCGAATTGCGAAACTCAGTGAATTATCTAATATACACCTTGATATTTCCTATACATTCGTATACAACAGCAATGAACCTAGAAGTGAAACAGACGATGCTGATGTTTTGTACAATGGTAGCAGTAATGAGAGCAACAATGCAGAGCAACAAGAGGGACGACAATTTGAAATCGAAGAATTGGATGAAGGTACCAGATTCAACAATCCCTACAACAAAACATTCGTAATCACCCCAACCGACAGTGATAAATTGAAGAAACGCAAACGTTATAGCGTGATTACTGAGCACATTGCTGTTGATGTGAAGATTAAGGAGAATGGTGATAATGTGCTTCCCACAGTTGCACTAATTGTTAGTGATTTGACAATCTACAGCGATCCGAATATAATTTATAGAGCCGTTGGTTTGATTAATGGAGAAAATATGCAAAATGCTGAGCAATCAACAAACTCTCTTGGGCAAACAACATGGAACGAAATTCATGAAGGTAATTTTTTTCTTTTATTTTAAAATTATTGAATATATGACGTTTCTATAATAAATTTTATAAAAATTAAATTTGCACTTGTAAAAGAAAAGTTTTTCTATTCCAATAGGAAGGCAGCAGTAAATAATAGGGATTAACATATATATTCTATTTGTTTTTTTTTTAATAATTATTATTATTATATTAAGACTAGTTGGGTTAGTGCACTTGTGCACTTTAATTATCTATTAACTGCGAGGTTTCTTCGTCACCCCTCTCTACGCTTTGACTGGATTATTGTTTATCACTTCATCAGACTAAGCAATAACTGATTTCAGATCTGCATAACTCATCGTTAAAAATTATCGGTTAAAAAATTTTTTTTAACTGAGCTTTCAGAAGGTTGTCAAGTTTTATGTTAATGCAATTTTATTTTAAACAAAACTTAAGAATTACATAAAACAGACTATTTGCTGAACCCTAAAGAAATTTTAGGTAAACCAAACAGTATAGGCTAGCCCAACTCGATATTCTTAGTTTCCGCAATAAATCTAAGACAAGTAAGCAAAAAAGAAAGTAAAGAGCACAACATTGTTTATGCTCGAAAGGTTATAATAGAGCAATTCCGAGACTTCGCTGTGGCGGCTCTAAAGTACTCTGAGGTCCTTTCTTCTTAATTACATAGAAATTTCACCACTTTATTAACAAGTTCTTTAACAAAGCTTCAGTAGACCAACCTGGTTGTTACTGCACGTAATACACTTAGAAAAATAATTTGGTTACCACAGAAGCTAAAATATTTCTAACAAAATGAAACAGCTCTTCGGCTGTTTATTGCAAGAATAAATCAACTTTGACCTGATGAGAATTCTTGAGAAAACAACTTGTTAATAAATATAATATAATATCTTCTTAAACTTCTGCTATAAAACCAATTTATAACATGGTATGTATTATTTTACTTCAGATCCTGCAATGAGTTTATTTGACGAGCTGTCTCAAATGAGTTTTGATGACGAATTTTATGATGATTCTATGATTATTGATGATGAGTCTATAACTCGTGACGAATTGCTGTCCTCTGATGATGAAAGTGATGATAAAGACTGCGATGTGTTTATTTATAAATTCACTGAACCTTACGATTTCGATGATGCCTCTGCTAATGAATTATTAGGTATTTATTATAAATAATTATTAAATATTGATTATAGTGATGATTAAAAATAATAAAACATGTTTGTATTTTGTTTACTTCTAAATTCATATTAAAAGATGTCAATCAAAATTCCGGAAGCAATGGACTTTTTGGCGATGATTATGACTACGATCACATTTTAGAAGATTTTGATGATAATATATTTGGAGGTAATATTTGAAAATGTTTTTGGTTTCTAAGTACATGTTTACCAATACAGAATAGATATTTTTATAATTATCTAAAAAATTGATCTCATCATTCAATTGTTCAATTATCTTTTATTGTATTATATGGGAACATATATTTTTAATGACATAAACTATAACATAGTAATATTAATATACAGTTTATGTATTGTAATTCTACCAAATTCAGAAATTGTATATTATTTTTTATTTATTTATTCATGCATTTAAATTAGATTTAGATAATTTTGATCTGTTGATTGATTATATCAATTTAGGTGGAAGTTCTGATATCAGCTCTTTATTCTTAGGAGCTAATAATAAAATTAACATTTTATCACATTTAATTAACAATAAATCATTAGAAATTTCTGATCCCGTCACTCGTCAATTAATTGATAATATTGCCGAATTCACACGTAATAATGTTGATGACAATACTACTTATAAATTAGTTTAATTATATTATAACATTCTCTCCAAGGTGAAACACATGCCGATCAATGTTATCCAAGTATTGGTACTAGGTCTGTTAACAATTTCAATCACATATTTTACCAAATTGCTTATAGCGATGACTATTTTTCTGCTAGTAATGAAAATGAAATCGTAAACGAATATACTCCTACTAATGAATGTAATATATTGTAAAATTTCATTCATACATCCTTTATATTCATTATTCTCATATATTAGTTCCCTTGTCCACTTTCCCAATACACCAAAGATTTTCTGTGGATTTTTCTTATAATGCGGAACGTTCATTATCAATATTTGATGGTAAAAAAAAATGATGATGGTTTAATAAATTACATTCAAAGACATACCTTTTATATCCTAGATCGTAACCAAGCTACTATTTGTCCTTCCTCTTCGGTACATGCTTTAAATGAAACTTCTGAAGTCGATGTCATACACTGCAATCCCCAGATTTCTCTAAACACAAATGGACAAGCTGCTGACAACTTCGTGGGTGAAAATAATGTGACTGCACCAATAACTGGATTGACTAGACCCGAAGCTGGCTTAGGTGGTAATCATGTTGAAATCGAAGAATTGTTTAATGAACGTAACGATGTACGCATATCATCGCATAATCAAAGTGTCGCCAGTGGTGAATTTAACGAGGAATATGAGATTTCTGATCAGAAATCTAAACATACCTAAGAAAAAAGAAAAACACCACCTAACGTTTTATTTTATAAATTAAAATAATATGTTATGCATATATACATGCATAGCAGGTAATGTGGTTACTCGTTACATTTGTTTGCAATAAATTAGCTTTATTGCAAATTGAAAGATTTAAATTTATTTGTGCTATTTATTGTTACTAAATTCAAAACTGAAAACTAATTTACTTTTTGTTTCAAATTTTTAAAAGTTTTAATTATTCAGAAATAAACATTTCCTACATATAAAAAGAATTAACGCAGAAAATTTTTTTTTTATGGCTGACAAATATTTTTCCATGGTTGTTTCTTTTTTAAATCATTTATCATTTTTTCGACAGAAAAAGATGTATTTTTATTTTTTCTATATATTATATAGTTTGCCTATATATTACCAAATCAACATATTTTTGAAGCAATGAGTTTCTAAAGTGCTATTTACTTTATAGTCATGTTATCGCAGCACTGTTTCGTTGACATATTGACAGGTCCCAAGCCATATAAATACTACGGAATGGACTTTCTGACAATATCAGTTATAAAAAATTTTAATTCTTTATTAATTTATCTTTAAGAATTCTATTCATATCAACGTTTTTAATATAGGTATAGTTGTTATCAGACGAAAAATATCTTATGTTAGACATATACTTAGACTAATGTCTTTGTCAATTAAGTTAATTAACTTATAGTGTAATACACTATTTAGAACATTTTTATTCATTTATTTCGAATGACATAAAAGCAAAATAATGAAAATTTACTAAAATATAACAAAAAAGAATTTGCTTAATGGTGATAGATTAGGAACATGTCGCAGGCCGCAAAAATATTAACCGCGGGCCTCATGAGGTGTTGGACAGCCCTGATCTAATGCATTATATGATTTGTTAAAGATATTAGTTATATTAGATTATGTATATAAACATATGTAAAATGATAAATATACATATATATGTACATATATACATGCTTATATATACATGTATATATATACATATATATGTATACACAATCTGAAATATATATGTAATATATACTTATTTATGTATGTACATTAGGGTGCCATTAAGGTATATGGGCAATTTTTTTTTTGTAAAATCGGTTGACGGCACCCCCCAGAACGGTTCATTTTACTAAAAAAATAATCTGTGTTAAGTTTTAGTTCAACTGGATAAGTGGAAATGGTGCCCCAAGAGCCTCAAAGATTGGAAAATAACGATTTTTTCCATAAAATTCATCTTTGATTGCTTATATCTCCGACATATTTAATTTTACATAAAAACTGTCTTCCCAAAAATTTTTGGACCTATTAAAAATAAACAGTTCACTCATACAAAGTTTTTCTGTATTTCTAATAGTTATTGAATAAAAGCAAATACAAGCTGAAATCCCCCTATTAAATTTAGGTTAGTTCAATGAATGAATTGTCTACTAAATTTGCTAGAAAATAAGTCCAATACTTGTATAGTTATATACATAAGTGAGTTTCTGTATTATTCATTGGAATGCGAAGTGAATTTTAATTCAAAGTGATTACATTAAAAAGTGTACAAGTCTGAAAGCCCAAATGTTTAACTATTTCAACGATTTCAGAAGTTTTGGCCGAAAATAAACGTTGATAACTTTACAGTCGGCTTAGAAAATGAAAAAGTAAGAAAATCGTTAAATATGGATGATGTGTTACGAATTACAAGTTTCCTTTATAAGATTCGTAAGGATAACCAACCCTGAGATGATTATAAGGAACTTCTGGAACTTGCATTAATGTTTTTAGAAGAAAAGCCGAACTGTACCATAAAGTTTCGACCTCCTAGAGCTATACATACATCATGCAAGATGGATGGTGAAAGTCATGCATGTATTGAAAATATTTTTATATAGGAAAGAGTTCAAATTATCTACAGAAGAAGAAAATGCTCTTTGCGATATATGTATATTTATTACTAAAGTGTATGTTGAAGTATGGTTTAATGCTTTGTCATCAGTCAAAGCTCATTTTCAACATTTTAATCTTCTTTCTATTCTTAGTCAATATCAAAAAATTGTATTTGGTATTTAAGCTCAAAGCTTGTTCATTTTGCTTTTTTGGATTTAAATATATCACCTGAGATAAAAAAAAAGATGGTTTCAAATTTGAATATAGATAGTGATGACAAGGAAGTCAGGAGAGTATCAATAGATCGCGCAAAAATAACTGAAGGTAATAAAGATACTTTGCTCCAGCAACTTTAACTAAAATAATAAAAATTATGTCGTACAAACCTAGAATTAGCACTTTTTTATTATTAGAAAGATTAAATTTTGGAAATATTGAATTTATTTTAAATTTTTTAGAAATATTAAATTTTTTGTAAAGCTGAAGCGGACAATAACATTCACAGTACTTTCAAAGCTAGCAATCGGGTGACTTCAACTTATTTTTTGTTTTATTCAATAACTATTAGAAATACAGAAAAACTTTGTATGAGTGAATTGTTTATTTTTAATAGATCTATAACTTTCAGGAAGACAGTTTTTAAATATGTCGGAGATATAAGCAATCAAAGATGAATTTTATGGAAAAAATCGTTATTTTTCAATCTTTGAGGCTCTTGGGGCACCATTTGCACTTATCCAATTGAACTAAAATTTCACACAGATTATTTTTTCAGTAAAATGAACTGATCTGGGGGGTGCCGCGGGCAATTTTCCGACTTTCGAAAATTAATGGCACCCTAATGTACATATATAATTTAAACTATTATAAACTATTAAAACTATTTTTCTACTTTAATGCTGTTCATTCGTCTGCTTTTAATAATTTTATAGCCCTAAGTGTCAAATGATGACCTGCCAGTTTCAGTGTCAAATAGTGACGATTTTCATTTATTTAATTTAAGCTGTAGTAATTTATTGTGTCAATTAAAAATTAAATTGAGATAGAACTGAAAAATAAGCATATTATAAATTACAATAAAAAACCATTAACAATTTTAAACCAATATCTTTTTATTAAACTCGCTGTTATATATCAATTAATATCCTCGAATTTCAATTCTAGATGCCTTTAATATATTCAAAAAAAATATTTAAGCATTTACATGCTCAAATAATATTAAATAAAATTTCATAAAATTGAAATATTTAAAAAGGATTAAATTTTTTCTTTAAATTAATTAAATTTTAATTTTATCATTTAATTGCTTACTTAATCCGCTGAAGGCATATATTGTATTTTATAATTAATTAATTCTGACTTCCTTTATTCGTATGGATTTCATTATGAATATTTGACCGTAATCCATGTAGCTTCAAGATATTTATTTTATGTAGAAGAAAAAGGTGACTAAAAATTAACTGCCTAAAAATGTTATGAAATATTTTTTTTTCTCTAGATGACAATTGTAAGATTTATTTAAAAAGGGTAATTTAATTACAAAATTTATTTTTAAACATATAAACATTTTCTATATATATAACATAACAATTAACAACCTGATTTAACATTTAAAACGAATCAGATTTATTTTTTGTTACAATAGTACGATATGCGGCCTGTATGGGACGACTCTTGGCGCGATATTCTCATCAAATATATTTTCTCAAGACGTTTAATAAATTTGTAAACATTTTTAATTGCATTAATATATTATTTGTAATAATATAATAATATAATATTTAAGTATTTAGAACATGCGAAATTTATTCAAAAACAATATAGCCAGTCCAAACATTGCTTCGACTAAGTTGTCTTTTAATGTAGGTTTTGTCATAAAAAGTTCGGAACATGTGTTGATAGACCTTTTTAAAGGAAAAGTAATAGAGTAACATATTACACCTGACCGGAACAATAATAATTTAGCGGTGCAATGTTAAGGCTATACCTTAGATGCACTATCATTTTCTATTAGAGGTTAATTTTTAGATTTTTTATCATTATCATTAGCATATACGGATTTAACCATTTTTACTAACGGACTTAAAATAAGTAGTGGTGTAAGCAGTGCTGTTTTTTCAAAGAAATTGAAAAAATCTTTCTACTATGGGCTTCTGGGTTATTGTAGTATTTTTTTGGCAAAAACGATAGCCATCAGGGAAGCTATATCTTCTCTGAAAGTTGATGATACAGTTAGTAGAAATATATACATACTATTAGACAGTCAAGTTTCTTTCAAGACTTTAAGTTTCTAGAACGGTTTTTGACTGAGATATTGACGTAGTTCTTTAATCTGGGTTCCCGGTCATAGAGACACTTTTGCAATGGCAAAGCAGACGATTTTGACAGACGGGATGCTTTAGGAAATCACTCGCAACACCTAAACAATCTGTGCATATCATTGATATCATGCAAATTGTTACTGAGTTCTCTCTGTGCTGAAAGAAACCTTTTCTTCAATAAAATATGAGAAGACTCAACGATATGTAGACATCAGCGATATGTAATTCAGCAATTTTCCACCAAAAATAACGTTAACTAATTGGTGATTAGTTAATAAATGACAAGTTATCGTGGTTTGATTTCTTAGAGACCCAGAGAGGGATGAGATCTAACTGCGTAGGTTGGCAGCGTACGAGTTTCACAAAAACTCTGCTTGGATGCAATTATCTTATAACTATTGTAATTATTTGTTTATAACAATAATTTTCAACAAATTTTGGATTTATCTTAAAAAAATATATATATTACTCATGAATAAAATGAATAAAAGTGAATGAATAGCATCGAAAGGCAAAGGCTGCTTTAAAGGATATTTTTTTTTATGTTTTATTTGAGAGAGAAAAAAACATAAATTATAGTTTCAAAAATAATTTGACTTTAAAAACAGAAAATGAATAAATAAAAAATAAAAATATAAGTAAAAAAATATAAAAGTCCAAACCAAAGAAAAATATGCAAAAATTTTAATTATGGAACGGAAATATCCTGCTTTCCTTGTTATGTTGCCACACGGAATTAAAACTGTAATTGGCTTTGTTATCACAACAACTGGTCGATTTCACTTGGCAGTTCCGTAAAGCAAATTCGAAACAATAAGCCAAGATGGCTTCGATATTCATTATGCATATAAGGGAAGAATCATTGATAAAATTGGAAAGAAGTTTAAACCGAAAGTTTGCAAAAATTTCTGAATTTTCAATTAAATTGCAAAGAAATTGATA